TCGCAAAACAATAAATGCCACATGATTCCACTAACGAGGTATCTGTAGTCAGACTCTTGGAAACACAAAGTAGAATGGTGGTTGCCAGGGGTGAAAGAAGTGGAAAAAGGGATTGTTCAATGGATACAGAGTTTTGAGGTTTATAAGATGAAACACTTCTAGAAAACTATAGCACAATATGTATATAGTTAACACTACTTTAAGGTACACTTAAAATTTTTATGTGCTTTTTACAACAATAAAAAGTTACATAGAAAATGAAACCTGAGAGTTCAAACAAGTGAGAAGTTATTTTCAACCTGATTTTTTAAAAATCTTTCAGATGTTGACTTTGGCCTTTAATGTGAGCTTTTAACTGCTATCTGCCTTTGCTAACAAAGCAATTACGCCTGTAGTACAAAAATAAAATATTCCTAAAATGCGTGAGGGGTACCTTCTTTCTGAAGCAGAAAACTGAACTCTATCTCTTTCTAAACACTGACTTAGTCAAAAGAGGATAGAAGGGAATGGATGCCAGACACAATGAGATGATCTATGTCCCTCAAAACTTTAGTTATTTGGCAAGCTGACTTCATATTGACAAACTGACAAAGTCAACATCAGCACAGATCCTACCCAAACTATTACAAATCAGAATCATAGATTCCAAATAAGTGAAAGCCAAACTAATGACATCTATGGTATATATCCTTATTTCTCGGAATTTATAATTTTCTCAAAATATTAGAAATCAAGGCAAGTAGGCTAGCCTGACATACTCCCAATCCATACATTATCAAAAGTTACAGTGAGAACTGTGTTAATATCCATTTGTATGCGCTGCAAAGACACACACTTGTGATGAACACTCTTACCTTCATCAAAGTCAGCATCATCCTCTGTGTGCTGAGGGAAAGGAAAGCAGTTGGTAATTTCAAGCCGATCTTCTACAACCAGGCCCAAAAGCACTCCTTGAACAACTTCAGTTCCTTGTCCTTCTTCTTGATAATGTTTGATTATCTTTAATACCACCTAAAAACACACACACAGAAGGGGGCTTAACAACCATCCTACTTTATTATTTCCTTTATTTCTAAGAAAAAAAAATAAACTGTACTCGCGGGTTTGTAAAACCACAAAATTAAATAAGAGGAATAAATAAATGTCTTTCAAATCATTTGCTTTACCCTTACATAAATAATAAAGCTCACATAATCTAAAATATATCTGAAATTCCAGGAGTTTGACTGTATGTCAAAAATGTCCATGTACAGCACTTATGCTCTTAAATCAAAGCTCCCCCATAGTCTGGCATCTAGGAGTTCCTTCGGCCAAATCAAACAATACCCCCTCAACCTGAGACTATTATTGAAGAAGTGATCCTGTTAACAGAAAGACACATAAATGACAAAACCATTAATAAGATACAGAGATAAAGGTCTCAATTATCCAGACACCTAAAAGCAGAGCCTTCTGACAAATTCTCATTTTGCCTTTCTCAACAGACCATCTCCATAGTCAGAGGATGCAACAACGGGAATATGTACCCACACATATCCAACAAGAATCTAGTTGGTAACGAAGAACACAAAGAGGGCAGTCTCCAGCATGATCTAGTTTTCCTCAGTCGGAAGGATTTGAGGGAATGTGTTCTCTTTCTGGGTCCATGATGGGGCGTAGTTTTAAAGGCAAAAACTTCCCAGAGCCATGCCCTGCTTCCAACTCTCTCCATCCGGGAGTTTTAACGGTTTATGTTTGAATTTCATGGGCGTGGGAAGAAACTAAAAGTCAGTCACTCCAGCGGAAGTTCTAATGAACTCCTTTCATTGGCCCAGGGTCTTGGAGAAGGTGGTGGTTCCTCCCAGGATAAAAGTCCGTGTCCACACACCTGGTGGGATTTCCCCTCTGAAATCCCCTTCCACACTCTTCGTGGAAGTCTTTCTCTTGTTCTCCTTTCCTTCTCTTTTCTCTACCTAAATAAAATCACCTTTCTGCAGCACTTCTTGGGTCCAACATTTACTTTTATGAGCATACAGTGCACCTGCAGGGGTCCCATCACTTCTTCAAGGGACAGGAGGCCAAGAACCCACAGCATTCTCTCAGGGTAGCTATACCTCGCCAACACCCAAAAAAAATCCGGTTACAGATTCATTAAACAACCTCTAATGGAATAACCAGGTCTTATATAACTCTCTCCTTGAATAGTCTCATAAAGATAAAAGAGGTAACACTGTGTATGGGTGGACAAGCAATTAAAGTCCGTAATAATCATCATCATCATTAATAATTTTGTGTGCTTTTTAGGTGGTTCCTACAACATGGGGTTAATATATGTAAAGTGCTTTTCATAGTGCCTGGCACATATTATTAACAATAGTAACATTAATATTTAATATAAGCCCATGGCCTGAAGACCTAAAAGGCAACAGAGTCAAAATTATATTGGAAAGTTCGCAGAAGGAAAATAAGTTTAACAAGAAAATGACAATTTATTTGTACATTACTGATTAGTGCTTCATTTAAAACAAATATATTATTGTTAGAAACTAATTAATGGGTGGGCCAGGCAGACACAGGGCAGGCAGCTACTTCTGCGTGCAGACTGAGCCCACAGGTCAGCTCAGCCATAGGGGTGGCAAAGAAACAGCCTAAGAGGGAATCAATGTGGTTGTCAGCTAAACCTGCTCCTGCAAAAGGGGAAATGAAGCTAAAAAGGGCAGCAGGAAAGGATAAATCTTCAGACAAAAAAATGTGAACAAAGGGAAAAGCGGAGCAAGGGAAAACAGGCCAACATGGCTAACCAGGAAACTAAAGAAATTTGCCTGCACAAAATGAAGAAACTAAAACTGAGAAGAGTCCAGCCTCTAATGAGGCCAGAAAGAAAGAAGCCAAGTTGGATTCATGTCAGAGTATACCGTGTCTTAGCAGTGGTCCCTATTTCCCTTCTTGTACAACCCAGAGGAATACTGTTATTACCTATTTTGTAAATACAAGTTTGTGTGAGATAGCGAATTATGGGAGGGTTTCACTGTCTTGATTATCAGCTTAACATTCCATAGTTGAGGGGTTAGCTTTTATATCCTACAAAACAAAGCATACTAAATGGCAATATGGAGTTATGGTCCTGCATTTAATGTCTTGAACGTTTTAAATTACTTTTATTCCCACATTATTTTTTAGTAGAATTATTTCCTAAAGAGAAACACTGTTTGATCATGGCTCACCCCATCATAATGGTGTGCACTCTGTAACATTTTTGGTTGTGGTAGTCCTGTTTTTCTAATTAACTTTGTTAATGCACTGTGGAAGATTGAAAATTTGAGTATGTGGTCTGCATGCTATTATATTGTGAATTGGTGGGACCTATGTAACAGCTTATCAACATGTGAAAATACTGGTTCTTGATAGTCTCTTCAGGAAAATTTGCTTCCCAATTTTAAGCTTGAATGTCATTAGAATAACTTTTAAAAATTACAATACATGGTTTTTTAGATTTTCAGTACCTAAGTTAAGAATTTTGTACAAATCCTCAACACAACCAATAAATCAATTATGAAAGAAAAAAAAGAAACTCATGACCAGTTAATAACACATTACTGAACATTACATGACAGTCAATAATCCAATTATTTCACAGGTGTTGCCCTATCATGTAATCTCACAACCACCTTAGGAAAAAGGTACTGTTATACTCATGTTATAGATAAGAAAACTGAGGAAGAAAGAAATTAAGTAAATGGCTAAAGGTGACACATCTAGGAAGTGGTAGGGCCGAGCCAAGATTTAAGCCTGGTTGAAGTTCAAAGCTTGTGTGTATACTTTAATAACAAGATGATTCTCATATTAGCAACTAAATTGATAATTAAAATAATCAGTAATAGACAACAGACATGCAGTAAAAACTGCGTTATGAATAGGCCCAAGACAGCACCAGAAAGATATGGAACTCCAAAGGAGTACAAGCAGTCAGCAGGGAAAAGAGCTCAATATGGAGTAACACCAACTAACAAGATTGGCAGACCTTCAATGTTGTGAAATGAAAGCAGTGCACAAACCTTACACATTCCTTTATGAAAGACCTCTCCACTTCTTGAAAGGCACAAAAATGGACTTGATGAGTCATACAAGTATGGGTATGAGTTCCAGTTCCAGCATCCACTAGCTGTGACCTTGAGAAAGCTATTTAAACTCTTCCCAAGCCTCAGATTCTAATTTGCAAAATGGCACTATCTCATAGCATTACTGACACTACTAAAAATGACAAAGTATAGAGAGTTCTTTGCACAGTCTGCCACATAACACTCAGTAAATGACAAATATTGTTCATTTTTGTCAATAAAATGAAAGTGCTATTTAATGCTTATTCAGCATACCTCTCTGCCAAGAAAAAATATTTTTACACTTAAAAAAATAGAACAAACATGGATGATTAAGAAGGGATAAACTAAACTGATAAAGAGTTATTATAAACACATCTGGTTTACCTAGATTCCTTTATAACTACCCCCATTAATGAGATCACTAAAACATTACTGAAATCAAAGTAAACTAGAGATGCTAGAAGATATATGAGCTTAACATAGTTCTTTAGACAAATTCTAGAAGTGATTCCTAAACAGCTTATTCCTACATACGCAAAAGGGAATACTGATGACTAGGACTAGCATCGTTTCACACAGAAGCCAGGTGAGGATAACCTCACTTCCAGTTATGAAGAAAATAGCAATAAAAGGTATTAATATATTTTAAAACAAATTATCACAGTTCAAACTATATTGAAAACCGATGGCCGGGCGCAGTGGCTCATGTCTGTTATCCCAGCACTTTGGGAGGCCAAGGTGCACAGATTGCCTGAGGTCAGGAGTTCAAGACCAGCCTGACCAACATGGAGAAATCCCATCTCTACTAAAAAATATAAAATTAGCCAGGCATGCTGGCACATGCCTGTAATCCCAGCTACTTAGGAGGCTGAAGTAGGAGAATCACTTGAACCTGGAAGGCAGAGGATGCAGTGAGTCGAGACTGTGTCACTACACTCCAGCTTGGGCAATAATAGTGAAACTCTGTCTCAAAAAAAAAAAAGAAAAGAAAAGAAAAGAAAGCAAACTGTCTTAATTCCAAAAAGAATGAATTAAGGACAATGAAACCAAACAGTACACCAGGCTTGACATGCTTGCCAAACAGCCAATGCAATTTTATGTAGTATCAATAGAAGCACAGTGCTCCAAGTAAAATAATTATTTCACCCTTTCAACACCACTGAAATGTTATCCTCAGTTCTTTACAATGACCCAAGAGAAAATTTACCAGTAACAGTGCCCAACTAAGAAATGAGAGAAGCACAAAAATCAATCAATATAAGAATCCACAAAAAAGGGCAATTACAAACAAAGTTTAAAACTCTGTGATGAGAACCAGCTCAATGAATGCAAATCTCTCTCTAGGCAAGGGACACTCAAAAACAGCACTTTAGAAATACTGAAGAGTTCTTTGGCTACTAAAGGGTTAGTCTTACTTTGAGGTAAAACCTAAGGACCACAACAGATAGTTTCTAGAAAGAAGATTTCAACTTTAAGGATAAATTCTCTCTAGTACTGAAGACTGTCCAAAAAAGAAAGCATTCAGGAAAGACTTGATCACTAAAATAATTTCCAACTTTAATATTTATGATTCTGTCATTTTAATATAATCCAATAAAGTACTCAGGGAAAAAAACCATTATTATCAAAACCAAGGTAGCTCATTCTTCATTGTGACATTTTATGATCGTCCTACTTCCTACACACACCATAACCTCAATTCTTTAGTTCAAGAAGTAATGTCATGGAAATACCTTAGAGGAGGAGTCATTTAGAACAGGGATCCCCAACTCCCAGGCCATGGACGGGTCCTGCTCCATGGCCTGATATGAATCTGGTTGCCCAGCAGGTGAACTGCCTAAGCTCCGTCTCCTGTCAGGTGACTGCTGGCACTGAATTCTCATAGGAGCACAAACTTATAATGTGAACCGCACATGCGAGGGATCTAGGCTGCCAGCTCCTTTGGAGAATCCAATGCCTGACAATCGAGGTGGAACAGTGTCATCCAGAAACCATCCTCTCATCCCCCTGCAACCCCGCATGTGGAAAAACTGTCTTTCACAAAACCAGTCCCTGGTGCCAGAAAGGTTGAGGATCACTGATTTACATGTCAAAAGGAAAGGAAATTCCTGATCAAATATAACTAAATGACATACATATTTCTGCTATTCTACATAGATAACCAAGAATTTGCCAGGTACATATATTTCAAAGTCTCATAAATTTGAAGTATCTTTAATAAAGGGAGACAGAGTCCATGTTGTGCTCATTGTCTCTCCTGGTAAATGTTCTCATAAAAATGAAAGGATGTTTTACTCACCATATCTTCAACACCTAACACAGATACTGGCACATAAAAAATACTCAAAATATATTCTGCTGAAGGAATGAATGGTAAACACTTATATGTCAAGCACTCCACTAAGCATCTTACATGCAATGACTCATTTAATCCTCACAACCACCCTATGAAGTCAGTTATATTATTTTCCCATTTTACATAAGGAAATAGAGATTAGCTGACAGGGAATTCAGCCGGGGAAGTGAGATTGACTTCTGAGTCCAAAGCACTTCTACTTACTTCACAATAAATGAGTAACACCAAACTCAGTGCACCAAACATGTTGATAACAGCAAGGCTGAAAGACATACATGGAAAGCTTGACCATTCTTCAAAACAAAAACACTCTTCTGTTACATTTTGTTTATATGTATCACAGGTGTGGGATCATTTATCCCACATCTTTTTTTTAATCCCACATTTGTGATACATATACACTCTGGAGCCCTATTTGCTCATTTGCAGCTAAGCAAAATCACCTGAAGAGCTTTTTTTTAGATAAATAAAGAGGGGTCCTCATTCTGGATACACATTAGAGCCATCTGGAAGCTTTAAAGTATACCAATGCCTGAGCACACTCCTGAAATTCAGCTATATGGGCTGGACTCCCATATTGAGTTTGGTGGGCGATGTCTGTTTTTAGGTTCTCCGGCTTACTCTAACATCCTATTTAGTTCTAACTTTTCATGAAGTTCTACGGCCCAGCTATCCTTTGTTTTTGTTTTGTTATAACTCCTCAGGTGACTACAATACACTGTTGATCAAACCCCAAGTTTCCTTTAGTCTGTTTCAAGACTTTGTGGATTGCTGAAAAGTGAAGGCACTGAGAAATACAGACCCAAAAGTGAACATGCTGTTATAAAAGCATAAATATCACCCTAATAAGAGGAATTCAAGCCCTACTTGGAAGAATCTCTACATCATATAAGCAAGAGGAAAGGTAATACCAGAAACCCATCTTGAAACATGCATGTTTTCTGCAGCACAGTAAGACTTACACCTTAGGGTTTGACTCCGTATCTAAGGCTGTTATGAACCCATGCTGACTAGGTTTGTTTCTTCTATAAATTACGCCTCAAGGGACAGAAGCAAATTTGCCAATAGAAACCTAACATCGAATTCTCCACCTTCTGAAATTTTGTCAGGTTCTGGGTCTAAATGCTTAATCTACTTGATGTGCCCTAAACAGTAAGTATTGTTCTCTGATTAGGTCAGTTGTCTCTCAAACTGTTTCCCAGACTTCTGAAGTTTACACAATCTCAAGTTGGGCAGATCTTAGTAAGGAATCCCAACCTGCAAGATAATCAACAGATGTCGGAGTGCTGAAATTACCCTGAAGGAAACACTGTTTTCTACCATTGTTCATTATTCAGACTATTTGAAAAAGCAAAGCAGACTATTATGCCATCTCTAATGAACACAATACTATTTTTTTTAAGTGTCTGGCTTTTTTAAAAAAATGAAAACCTATTTTTGCCTAAAAGTCTAAAAGCAACAAAGAATTTAACTTCTATGACAAGTATTCTCCGTATTACAGGGTAAAATATAAATACCAATCTAAAATAGCCAAATAAATTACACTAGAAGCCAATAAATCTAAAATTTAGAAGAGCTAAGAATGGCAGGTAAAATCTTCCATCCTTCCTAAAAGGAAAGATTTAACAATCTCTAAGATCTCCCTCTCAAAATCATATCAAAGACTCAGTTCCATGCAGGGAACAGTTCAAATTTGACCAAAGTAAATATTAAGCTTTTTGATGAACTACAGTAATCTCCCATCAAACAAAATGTCTGCATAGACTAGTAACTACAGAAAGATTTGAAATCTTTCTGCACAGAATCACCAGGCTTCTGTTATTTTGACTTCTTTCATTCCCTCATTCATTCATTCATTCGTTCATTCACTTAGATATTTACTGAGTGACTTTTCAGATCATTTGCCTCTGCCAGGTCTGGGAATATGAAACTAAATCAAACACATAGGTCTTACTTTCATGGGGCTCATATTTTTAGAACAGCAAATCTCAAACACACTGTTTCTCTTTACTCTCATACAATACTGCTAACACCAGTGGTGTGGGCTCTTTCTACGCCATGTAATTTTTCAATGTGCCAAACACCAGCTGGGTATCTTACAATTTACTTCAATTCTGACACTATCTTCCTGGAGTTAGTGTCAGACTCCAAAAGCTAAGGGCACAGACCTACAAGACTGCCCTCGCTTCAGATCCCTCGCTTCAGATCCCAATCCCAAATCCAGGCCTTCTGACCAACCAGCTATAAATCAGGAATTCTCACAAAACCCACCTCAGGTTCAACAATTTGCTAGAATGACTCGCAGAATTCAGAGAAACACTTTACTTACATTTATCAGTTTATTATAAAGGACATTACAAAGGATACAAATGAAAAGCCAGATGAAGAGACACACAGGACAAAATATGGGAGGTTATGGGGCAGAGCTACTCTGGGCCTGCCATCCTCCCAGCTCCTCAAAGTGTTCGGAAACCCACAATTCATCAAATCTTGCACAAGAGTTTTTATAGAGCTTAATGGAGCTTAATCTCCAGCCCATGTACGCTCCTTCCCAGAGGTCAGTGAGACTGACCCAAATTACCTCATTAGCACTAACTCAGGTGAGACAAAAGGGGAAGCATTACGAATAAATGGCAGTCCTAACACTCAGGAAATCCTAAAGGTTTTGGAAACACTGCGACAGGAACCAAGAACAAAGACCAAAGATATTTCATATATTTCAAGGCCCTTAAAAACTTTAAAAAAAAAAAAAACTTCTAAAAAATTAAAAACTCTCTAAAATGTGCATGGACCCCCAAAGATCTTGCACATTGATATTTGCATATCAGAAACTCAAACCAAGAAATGTGTGAAATATTTATTTCTCTTAAAAATAATCTCTAGTGGAAGCTCTGAAAAAAATTAAAATGAGAAAAATAATCACATTACATGCTAATATAAACTATATTTTAAAGAAAAATATTTTTAAAGACAACGTAATTTTATCAGGATATAAGAATGATAATGTTTCACATTTTTGTAAAAATTTTATATTTTCAAAAAAATTTTTAATCCAGGAGAGAAGAAACATAGTTTCACATTTTTGTAAATCTTTTTAATACCTATCTGGTTTAATAGAAAACAGATGGATAATCACATCTGCTCTTGCAGTCAGTCCTTTATATCACACATCATGTAGCATCTGGAAACCTCCATTAAACACTCATGAAAGAATAAAAGTAAAAATGGCAAATTATGTATTATTATGAAAATAAGTTTTGACCTTGGAGACTCTCTAAAAGGGTGTCCAAGATCCTCACACTTTAGGAACTGCTATTCTAGAATGACAATTAGGAAAATTAATGGGATTACAGATTGTGGAAATCGCTAAGAAAAGGGGAAATGTAACAAGCAGGGGCAGGGAGGCAGCCTTAACTAGGGGGATCCAGGAAGGGCTTCTGAGAGGACACCTGATCAGAGAACTGACGAACAAGACATCAGCCCTATGAAGACTTGGGAGAAGAGAATTCTTGACGACTATGGATCTGTAATCTTTTAAATAAAAATACTAAGATTTACATTTCATAAAGTACACAAGTTGTATTTTATGGGAAGAAAAAGGCCTCTAGATGGATAAGCACTAGGATGGGAGGGATACACGTTCATGTTTTTACTAAAAGAACTGGTAGATAAATAATAGGCCCACCTACTGGCAGAAAGTCGGTTTTTTCGTTTATTTGTTTATTTTGAAACAGGATCTCGTTCTGTCACCCATACTGGAGTGCAGTGGCACAATCTCCACTCGCTGCAACCTCTGTCTCCCAGGTTCAGGCAAGTCTTCTGCTTCAGCCTCCTGAGTAGCTGGAATTACAGGTGCACACCACCACGCCCAGCCGAGGTATTTTTTTTTTTGTATTTTTAGTAGACACGGGGTTTCACCACGTTGGCCAGGCTAGTCTCGAACTCCTGGCCTCAAATGATCCACCTGTCCGGGCTTCTCGAAGTGCTGGGGTTACAGGCATGAGCCACTATGCCCGGCAGGAATAGTTATACCTTAAAATAACATTATGTAATTCAAAACTATCAATTTCATTCGATTTTTGTTAATGAATTATAAAACACAATATACTAGTAAAATCCTTTTAGAAAAAGTTACCAGAGCTTTTAATTAGCAATATGCATATTCCCAATACCAGGGGTCAGGGTCAATCTTTACCTAGTAAGCATGTCTATGAAGAATTCCTCCAATAAAGGTTGCAACTCCAATAAAATTCAGAGGTAAAAAGAAAACTATTTAAAGAAACATACTGGACTTTCAGGACTTGCGAGTATTTGCAGCAATGCCCTAAATTACATGAGACATAGATATAATCTGCAAAACCTAGGAGCTGAATAATAATCCAGTCTCTATTATTGGGTCAGGATATGGAATTTTGAACTTGTCTGAACCAGTAAAGTAGAAAGTGAGACCATTCTAAAAAGCTTCAACTCTATGAAAATTGCTAGTGTGAAAGCAGAAAACAGTAACTGTAGTATCTTACAGCTAAATATAAATGCACCAAAACACTATACCTGCTCCCAGGAATCTACCCAAGAGAAATAAAAACATCCACACAAAGACATGACTACAAATGTCCATGGTAGCATTATTCAGAACAGCTAAAAACCGGAAGCAACCCAAACCACCAAATGAAGATGAATAAATAAACTGTAGCACAGGTTGAGGATCCCTTCTTATCCAAAATGCTTGGGATCACAAGTGTTCCCGATTTTGAAATATATGCATTTTCAACTGTATCTTTATACCGCAGAGCAGAGAATAAACAAAAACAACAACAATAACAACACACAGTGAGTAATGTACATAGGTCATCCTGGCCCCATGTGGATCATCGTGAGGAATCTGCTGTTGATATATCAAGCCCCCACTTTATTATGCTCTGCAAGTATGCTTGCAGGGGGCAATTTGAGCATGCAGGAAAAAAGGAATGCATAACACAGCTGAAGGAGACTGGAAGAGTCTTTTATCCCTTGGGGACCCCGAACAAGCTGTGTGGTGTGCACCTGTGTTTTAACAACAATCCATCACATGAAGTCAGGTATGGAATTTTACACTTGTAGATCGTAACAGTGCTGAAAAAGCATCCAATTTTGGAACTTTTCAGATTCTTAACTTTCCAATTAGGGATGTTCAACCTGTATAACTATTCTATGGAATTATATTCAACAATAAAAAGGAATAAAATATCAACAGACAAAACAGGGAGGAATCTCAAAAACATGCAAAGTGAAAGAAGTTAAAC